TCAGTCCTCATACAAGTCAGGTCTGTTCAGGGGAGGAGCCAGACAGGAAGAAGGTGCTGTGTTTGGACCAGTGCATGATGTTAATAATGTACTCCTCCTGTGGTACTCGGTTGCATCAAAGAATACAAAGTATACCTGGCAGTCGGAAGGAATTTAGCTCTAACTGGCAGTGTTCACGTGGGTGTCGAGTCACCTCCTCCACAGGGTCTTAGCACAGCTGATGGACCAAACAGCAGAGGTGTGAAACAATGGCTCATTTCCAAATAAAGAGATTGTGAATGAAGTAAATCAGACACGATATCAGTACACCCTTTGTCTTCTGTACAAAACATTGAGCTGTAGTTGACAGACCACAGAAATCAAAACCTGAATGATGCACTGAAGCAATGATGAGCTGTGCTTAGTTTATGGAAACAAAGAACAAAGAAACAACAGTAACTGAATATGAATCTTTAAATTTAAGTTTAACTTTAAAATCCCAAAAGCACATTGGGATTTTGAACACAGGTGGAAAAAGTTGGGCTTCCACAGAATCCTGAGGCTGCCAGAGGAGCATGGACTGGGCAGATGGATACGGTATCATTCCCATCAGGACTTGGGGAACAAACATCTGGGCTTTAAGATTCTCCAGAATGTTTCAGTGCGTGACAATCAGCCAGCGTTGTGCATCTTCATGATGAATGTGGTCTCTCCCCCTGAGGATGGACAGAACATATGGCACTGGCGGTGCTGGTGGACAGGGACAGTGTATTAATTAGGACAGATTGTATGTTTTTTTTAATATTTGAGGTCAGCTGCAGGATGCTTCACTCCAAGCCAAACATGACTGTCAGCCTGGGAGATTTAAATGGGATTTAAGGGAAAGGAGGAATTTCATGCTCCGTTATTTCACACCAACATTTTCCACCGACTTTCTCTCCCATATAAGGTTTGCATGTGTGTGTGTGTCCGCTGACCCGTGCTGCCCTCCATGTCTTTCCACTGGAGAGACTGACAGCCTTATATAGAGCTGCAGGAGCAGAGAGGACAAAGTAGGACAGCGAGTCCACATGCAGCTCCTGGACTCACCTGATGGCTGTCTCTGTGAGGACCTACGGCACCTACAGCCTGTCACAGTGCTGACTCCGCCTGTAGCTGGTTGAACTGGAGCAACCAGATGGTCAGTATGAAATGCTTTATTATTACTAATTATTACTATTACTGCCGCGCTCCTTTCAAAAGCAATCAGAGATGGTAGGTGTGTCTTTTCACAATCCATCACACTGAAGATGTTCCTGCATTGCCCTTAATCACATCGTCACAGTTTGAGGGTTCACACTCGGTTTCAGGGTTGTGGTTAGATTTAGGTTAGTGCGGAAGGCCTCAGAAGATCAAATATGTATATCAATAACATAATGAGAACATGTCACTGCACAATCATAATCTAGGACAATATGGCTTAATTCTATTTATTTCCATGGATTACCATTTTATAGAGACAGAGTGAGTCACACTCACACACAAAGAGTTTATTTAGTCCACTAATCAGAAACTTTATATTCTAAATCATAAAGCAAGACAAATTCCTCCTAATACGCACATTAGTCTAAAGGGGTTAAATAAATAAAGACCACAAGGCCTCCTGGATGAGAACGAAGACCTTCCAATCTTTGTGTATAACTCGCAGTGCTGGGTTTGACCTATGAACAGACTTCTTCAGAGAAACAAGCTTCTGTGGGAGAATCAAGTTTCATTTTTCTTTATCATCATTTGGCATCTAATCAAATTCCCATGTACTCCTAAAACTCGCGGGCAGTGGTGCTCAAACATTTACTGGCACGGTTCATATCAAAAGTTTAAACAATGTAATGCCCCATATCCCCCATATCACTCTGTGCAAATTTAAACCAGTGAAACAAAATCCAAGATGATTTTCAGTGAAATGAATCGGTAGAAAACCAATAGCACAGGAGTAAACTCTTTCAGGCGTCGTCTTTCAACCATCCTTGCTTAATTAATCCAAATTCTTTCCCTGGTTGTTCACACCTGCACTGACTCACAGTCAGAGTTTAAACGGTCGTAAATGTTATTTATCTTCATTAGAGGGAATCAGTGAGAACTGCAGGAGGCTCTATCATAGGTGCAGACTGAATGTTGATCAGCACTCCAAGAACTGGAGGAGGTGTGTGTTAGTTGACTTAGCTAAGACGGAGCAATATCGACCTCTGATAGAAGAAAGCTGAACTGCAGGTTGTGGATAAACAATGAAACATCTCACGATCACAAATAAGATTTCCATACCTAGAATCTGATGCAGTGGACTATTCTGATTCTGCATCGCAATGAAAAAGAAATCTGTTCAAATGAATGCACAGAATCTATGTATCAAACCTCAGCTGAGCAGTTATTACCACAGATCAATACCACATGAGCCCAAAAGCCAGTAACTGATTTCCAACCAACTGGAGGAATCGGTCCGCCAGGACCTCCACTCCTGGCCGCTGCCTGACTCACATTGCACCCGACCCCTACGGTGCCTCCTGTGGGTGGTGGGCCTGCAGGAAGATGGGCCCATATCCCTCTTTTGGGCTGTGCCCAGCCGGGCCCCATGAACTAAGGCCCGGCCAGCCGGAAAAGGGTGGAGTGCCCACTCCGGGTCAGGGACGAGATCCTGCGCCAAGTGGAGGAGTTTAATCAAATCAAATCAAATCAAAATTTATTTATATAGCACATATTAAAACAACAGTGTTGACCATAGTGCTTCACAGTCAATAAAAACATAAGACAGTTAAAACAAACAATAAAAGAGGACAACAAACAATAGGTAACAACACAACAAGCTGAAACAGACAACTAGACAGAATCAAAAGCCAAAGTAAAAAATACGTTTTAAGACGTAATTTAAAAGACTGGATCGACTCGGCAGTGCGAATATAAACAGGGAGGTTGTTCCAGAGTCTGGGTGCCACGGATGCAAAGGCCCGGTCGCCTCTCGACTTCATTCGAGTCCTAGGTTGTGCTAGGAGCCTGTGATTGGACGATCCAAGTGCTCTGTTGGGATTGTATGAATGGAGTAAATCAGAAAGATAACTGGGTGCTAAATTGTTCAAAATATTAAAAGTGAACAAAAGCATTTTAAAATCTATACGATATTTAACAGGGAGCCAATGTAATTTGGCTAAAATTGGAGTTATGTGTTCATGAATTCTCGTACCTGTTAAAAGACGCGCAGCTGCATTTTGAATTAACTGGAGCCGGCAAAGAGAGGAGTGTTGGAGGCCCGAGTAGAGGGAGTTACAGTAGTCCAATCTGGATGTAATAAATGCGTGGATAAGCTTTTCAAGGTCCTTTAAAGGAAGGAACGGCTTTGCTTTGGAAATCTGACGCAACTGGTAAAAGCTGTTTTTTACCACAGTGGACACCTGTTTCTCGAGTTTAAGTATCTCAGGGTCTTGTTCATAAGTGATGGGAGAAGGGAGCGGGAGATCGACAGATGGATTGGTACCGGTCTGTTGTGGTGAAGAGTGTAAAAGCAAAGCTCTCAATTTACCGGTCGATCTACGCCCCTACCATCACCTATCGTCACGAGCTGTGCGTAGTGACCGAAAGAACGAGATTGCGAATACAAGCGGCAGAAATGGGCTTCCTCTGAAGGGTGTCTGGCCTCTCCCTTAGAGATAGGGTGAGAAATTCAGCCATCCGGGAGGGGCTCAGAGTAGAGCAGCTGCTCCTCCACATCAAAAGGAGCCAGCTGAGGTGGTTCGGGCATCTGACAAGGATGCCCCCTGGGAGAGGTTTCCTGGGCATGTCCCACTAGGAAGAGGCCCCGGGGCAGACGCAGGACATGCTGGAGAGATTATATCTCTCGGCTGGCCTGGGAACGCCTTAGTGTTCCCCCGGATAAGCTGGAGGAGGGCTGGGGAGAGAGAGGTCTGGGCTTCTCTGCTTGGGCTGCTGCCCCCGCGACCCGGCCCCGAATAAGCGGAAGAAAATGGATGGATGGATGTCTGTCCTGCTTGCATACATTTATGCTTTCTATTGATTTTTTTTAGATAATGTTTTTTTAAACTGAAAACAAGAACATAGTTTTGCCTACCTACACCTACTGAGTGCTGAAGTTGTAACTTTAGTTTTGGTTTTGTCATTTCTTACAGGACACACAGTTTACTCTTTCAGTGATCAAATCAAAATGGAAAATGCAGGGCTTACAATTAATAAATATATAATAACTGAAAATAAAATAAAGCATCATAAGATATTTAGTCTTATTAGAGAATACCTTTTTCATCCAGTTAAGTTAATATGTGCATGGACGCATGCACTTGTATGTTGTACGTACAATGGCTGTCATTGGGGAGATCACTCACAGCTAAGTCACTGTTTATAGGTGTGCACAGGTGACACGAGAGTATAGCCCTCCATAAAAACATGGCAGAGAAAGAATTTTACATTGAAATCAATGATAGCAGTAGAAGTACAACTTCCAGTAGAAAAAAACGTTTAGAAAACTTAAAAGTCAATTTTTAAAGACGTTTTCTATCAGATGACCAACTTAGACAATGCTGCAGAAGGACTGAACAAACACATATCCTGAAATGTTTTAAAATAGCTACTAGATGATAGCTGCTAGTCTAGATGAAATAATGGATGTATTAACTGGTGTAACTGTAACTGTAACTCTACCAGGTAAAAGAGAGAAGAAGAAAAAAACGCTTTAGCAGGATAGAAAGTGTCATTATAGAATCATACAGTCAGTCTTTGATGATATTGCTAAGTTTAGACAAGTACAAACTCAAAAAGAGAAGCAGTTTCATCAACACTCTTTCTCAGTCAACTCACCTGCTTCCCAAGTACACCCACCACCACCAGGGGGCAGCAGAACTGAGAATTTGTTAAAAATGCGTGTGTGAGAGAAGGTGAGAGACAAAAACAGCAAAAGAAAGTATGCGTGCATGATCGTGCAGACAAATGTGTGTATTTGTGTGTGTGCCAGCCTTGTTTGTATGCTTGTGTGTCCCGACAAAGGCTCCATCCAGCCGTGCTGCAGAGGGCTGCTCGTTCCCAGAGATCCTCAGAGCTCCAGGACGCCCAGTCTCTGCGCTGCCTGCAGCCAAGACACAGCAGCCCAGACACGGACACACACCCTGCTGCTGCCCCCACCATCCCGCTTCTCCTGGAGCCTCAACACCTGTTTGGATTATTAATGGATGGGAAAAACAGAGGGAAGTTTTAAAGTGAGTAAAGTGGGGGTGTTTGCAGTTTGAAGAGAAGAGATAACAGAGGACCCCTCTATCCTGGACCTCAAACTTGTAGAAAAACTGACTGGCTATCTTCAGAAACAGGCTTTTTCTATAACTGGAAATATTTTTAAACTGGGCAGAGTTTTATGAAACAATTTCAAAGTAATCTTAGCATTCCTTTTTAGTTGATTTTTGACCCCCGTCCCCCCACACGCAATTTTATGGATTTCTGGACTTGCTCAATCTAATTGAAATTTATTGGAAACTTTGCCAACATACAAATTGTTGTTTTCAGTGGATTGGAAATTTCTGGGAACATTTCTGGATTTTTACTGAATTATTTACAGATTTCGTAGCAACAGGTAGTCCTGAACTCTTCTGGTTTGAGTTTAAAAGGAAACTGTCATATTAAGTTTTGCATCATGGCTCTGTCAGTCGGTCTGTGGCTGTGTCTGTATCTGCTGCTGCTGCTTACTGATGCAAAGAGTGTTGGGCAACATGACGGGCAGCACAGCAATAATGATAAACCTTCCTCCCCTGTCGAACCAAAGCCCCTTTGGATTGGCAAACCGGTCAAAACCCAGGATGAATCTTACGTCCTTGACAAGAGCCTCCCCCAAACCGAGGTGCTGGACCTGGACCTTGACCGTAACCGCCGCCAAGCCCGTGGTGCGGATGAGGAGGAGCAACAGTCCACCTTTGGTGATTCCTTTGAAAATGAATGGGTTACAGCGCCTCAAGTTACTGAGTTCAGCAATAAAACGACTACAGTGGCAGGAAAGGTTCATGAAGATGATAACCTCCACACAAACAGCTCCAACACTGACCATGATGCTCCAGGACTTTTCAACCCCTTTTACCCCCTGATGGAGGGCTCATATGCAGCCTACGCCATCCTCTTCCTGGCCGGCCTGGTGCTGGCAGTGGGCGTAGTAGGAAACATGGCAGTCATGTGCATTGTCTGGAACAACTATTACATGAGGTCAGCCTGGAACTACCTACTGGCCAGCATGGCATTTTGGGACTTCCTAGTTCTGGTTCTGTGCCTTCCAGTGGTGGTCCTCAACCAGCTATCCCATAGGAGGATCCTGGGTGACATCACCTGTCGCATGGTGCCTTATATGGAGGTGGGTGTGGCTTGTGTTAAAAAAGCAGGAAGTCAGTGTAACGACATAATTTGTTTTTCTTTTTTTTGTCCTATGAAGTCTTAAAGGAGTATACATCTGCTGTTGGACAGCTGACTGTACAAATACAAATGTGAAGCAGAAATTTTACCCAAACTGCTGATGTAGAAAACATCAGCAGATCCAAAGATTAAGATTTCCTTTACAACTACTTGTGTAAAATGACAACAAATATAAAAAAAACTTTCCAAAATTACAGGCATGTGCTAGTTCTGTAATAATCAATATAATAGCGGCAACTGACCTCAATTTTATTGTTTTACATTTCTAATCTTAATGAGACTAACAGCTGTAGATAGTATTAAAGAAGAAATGATGATTAATTCAATTCAATTTAATTGATATAGCGCCAAATCACAACAACAGTCACCTCAAGGTGCTTTATATTGTAAGGTAGAGCCTACAATAATACATACAGAGAAAAAAAAACAACAATCATATGAGCCCCTATGAGCACTTTGGCGACAGTGGGAAGGAAAAACTCCCTTTAAACAGGAAGAAACCTCCACCAGAACCAGACTCAAGAAAACACTCAATGCATCATGGGAATCCCCCGACAGCCTACGTCTATTGCAGCATAACTAAGGGAGGATTCAGGGTCACCTGGTCCAGCCCTAACTATATGCTTTAGCAAAAAGGAAAGTTTGAAGCCTAATCTTAAAAGTAGAGATAGTGTCTGTCTCCCGAATCCAAACTGGAAGCTGGTTCCACAGAAGAGGGGCCTGAAAACTGAAGGCTCTGCCTCCCATTCTACTTTTAAATACTCTAGGAACAACAAGTAGGCCTGCAGAGCGAGAGCGAAGTGCTCTAATAGGGTGATATGGTACTACAAGGTCATTAAGATCAGATGGGGCCTGATTATTTAAGACCTTGTATGTGATTCATGTTTTTATGTTATTTTGTTACTGATTGTCCAAAATGTAAGTCTGTTACTAGATTAGTTTACTGGCAGCTTTATTAGTAAACTAATTAAAGATGGTGCTGCAGGACAGCCACACTGAAATGTGCTCGCTGGCTCTTTGAAATACCCAAACAACTGCATATTACATATATTACACTACTAGAGTATCAGTTTTTTGGTCCATCACACAGAAAATGGTTGGAATGGTCATAGGAAACAGTGTGGTTAAGATTTGCTCTACAACTTCCTGCTACAGCTTGCAGTTAAACAAAAAAAAACTTGGAGATGAAAATGTGTTTGTATGATTAAGTGCCTTCCTATGGCCGACACTGCCGGCTCTCTGTCCATCGTCTATAGAATCAAGCAGCTTTGGAGGTACTGATTGCTGTTGTAGGTATACTCATTGTTCAAATCTATGCTACTCACATCACAGAGGCACAGAGATGCCATTGTGTTTCCATCTGACACTCACATTTACATCTATGGGCAGTTTAACATCACCAATTGACCCCAATAACTGCATGTCTTTGGACTGTGGGAGGAAGCCAGAGTACCCGAAGAGAACCACCGCAAACATGGGGAGAACATGCAAACTACACACAGATATATGAACTGTTAATACATTATGATATATTAACAGTATAACATTAACAAAAAGACTATTTTGTATAGAAGCATATGGGAAAACAATCCTCGGCTGTCTTACACTTTGACCTCAGTAAACATTTTCCATATGACTTAATGGGGTCTATTGACAATTCCAGGGTGACTAAATAAAACAGAATACTGATGCTGTTCATTATGATCAGTGTTAGATTTAAAAGAGATGATCTGTTGGTTATGCTCCACGAGAAGTCATTAGCCACTGAGCGTGCATTGTCCTCTGTTTCAACATTAGGCCCAGTTAGCTTGTTTGCAAAGCACCAGGATGGAGACAATCAAAACGCTCAGCTTGAGGCTTCATAGCCTATTGGTGATGTCATAGTAACCATGCCTCTCATCATATATATTTATGATATGGACTTGAACATGTGACATACTGAATCTTTTTCATCAGGTGAGCTACATGAGATAAGGTAATAGACTGATTTCAGAAATAGCAACATGAACTCAATAAAAGAGGATTTAGCAGTTTTACTGTAAACTGTTTAACTTTTAGGCACAGTTTCCTTCTCTGATGAGAATGGCCACATTGACTTACTGCTGTTGTTACCCTCCTCTTCCCTGCAGGTTGTGTCTCTGGGCATCACCTCCTTCACTTTGTGTGCTCTGGGTATCGATCGCTTCCACGCCGCCACCTCGTCCTCCCAGCCAAAGGCTCGGCGGGTGGAGCGCTGTCGCTCAGTGCTGATGAAGATGGTGCTGGTGTGGCTCTCAGCTCTGCTGCTGTCCAGCCCTGAAATCTTCCTATGGCAGCTCAGCCAGGCCGTGTCTCCATCCACCGGCCGGCTGGTCGACTCTTGCACCATCACGCCCTCCTCTCCTCTGTCCCTCTACCTGCCTGATTCCCTTCACTCCCTGCTGCTCAGGTATCACCAGGTGAGACCAAAGCAGACGTACGCACTGAACTGACCAACACATAGTATCCGTGTGTTGATTAGGTGACACGGAACATGTAAATCTGGACCTAGAGCGTATATAATGGTGCTTCTCTCTTTAACTGGTGGCCGTCCACATGTTGTGTACACTAGCACTGAAGAAATGGACACCAGTTGGACACCGTCAAAAGAGCACCAGTAGGAGCTCAAATGAAAGTAAAAAAAATGAAGCATTTCTGTTTGTTTTCTGGTTTATTGAATTAATGAGTAAGGATTTAGTAAGGACAGAGATATCATGGGTTTGTCTCAGAGGAGCAGCTTCATCACACAGGTTGGCTCAGAGGTCATAAATGAAACCACATTTAGTTTTCTGTCCAGAACATTTTAGGTAAAAGCAGAAAGATCTGAGTTCCTGAAAGGGCAATTTAGCTGTGGAGAAAAGCTGTTGTGACTTTTTTTTGCCCAGACAAAAGCAGAATGTTCCCAAAGTTCTCCTCCTTCAGCTCTTACTGTTTTAACCTCTGTGCTTCAGGGTCGTATGTGGTGGTGTTTTGGCTGCTACTTCTGCCTCCCTGTCCTCTTCACCATCCTTTGCCAAATGGCCACCCGGAACGTCAACAGCGACTCCAGCGCCACCCAAAAGCAGCGTAACCTCGACGAACGCTCCAACCAGAAGCGTCAACAACACCAAACCTTGGAGCGACAGCTGAACTGCACTCTACTAGCTCTAGCTGTTGTGTATGGCGTGTGTGCTCTCCCCGAGCATGTCTGCAACATCACGCTGGCCTACACGCACATCACCATCTCCGAAGACACTGCCACCATGCTGGTGCTGTTACATCACTTCCTGTTGTTCTTCAAGTCATCAGTGACGCCGGTGCTGCTGCTGTGCCTGTGTAAGGTAGGTTGCCACCGAGCTACAAGGTGTTTTCTCAAAGACGTCTGTACAACTGAAGCCTTTTTCCAAGCAGAGAATTCACCACCTGCTGTCCACTACCCATTTAGAGAAATGGCAGATGGTTGAAAAGGTTGAATTCCTTGCATATTGGTCCTCTGGAGTATTGTGTTTGATTTTGTGTGTATAGTTGTCACTTACCAAAGCTGTGCATCGTCTGCATTTCAGGCTCTTGGCCAAGCCTTCATGGACTGCTGCTGCTGCTGCTGTCAGGAGTGTCAGCCAACCGGAGCCCAAGGCTCTCCAGGACCTCCCCAGGTCAAACTCAAGGGGGCCAATGAGACGTCCATCTTCTTTGATAAGGCTAAAGACACGTCAGCCATTTTGTCCATCTCTAGCTAGAGCAACAAGTCTGTCTCTGACTGTAGATCATCTCTTCTTCTCTTAGTCTTTCCTCCTTTGCTCCTTTCTACAACATTACCTGTATACCCATCGTCTCCTTCTACACGTTCTTTCCATTTTTCCCTATTTTGAAAATATTTTTCAACTTTCTGTCTGTTCTCTTCTCTTCTACCGGAATATCGTTTGTATGATACTCCCATGTGGACTCAGAGTTACCCCCTTCAGCTTCCTGTCAGTGCAGGAAGTAATGTTTAATCTGTAGCAAGATTAGAAGAAGATGGTGTACTTGCACAACCAGTTGTTATAAATGCAGGAGCCTGTTTCAGGACTCTGAAAGAACTCATCTCTCTGGCCTCCTGCTGCACAATATATGGAAATGTCTTGAAAGTCTTCCTTGGTTACGCTCCTTAGATCGATGCTGTGAGGCTCGAGTTCGTTGTGTTTTTTTGGAACATTAATTTAAACTCATTTATATGCAACATTAGTTTGGTGCAAAGCATAGAAGTTTCCTGCTGTCATAAGAGGTGAACTGGGCTGAGCATAAATTTGAAATTAGTATGACATTTTAATATAAACATTTGATCTGCTTAAATATAAAATGAAAAACTTCTGGAACTGATTGAACTGAAACATTTCATTGACACAGACCAGCCCGAAACAGCTTCACATTAGTTAAACAAATGTAGCTGTTGAGGCAGAAATAATCCTGTGAAATCCTTTCCTGTAAAATGGGATACAAGTTATCCTGGTCACTGCATTTTACTTTTTCTTTAACAACAGTTTCTGGCTATGAACTAGTTTGTGTTTGCATGTTAGTTTCTCCAGTGGAAAAATAATGCTAATGTACAGAGGGTTAACTTTAGCTTCCCAAATTTAATTTAGAGTGCACTCACACCTGCACTTTTTAATGCAGTTAAATCTGATTCTCAATATGAATTATCTGGGTGTGACTACAGTGATGAACAAACACAACAAGGACCTTTACAGGTGGTTTTATCCTGGTCCCAAACAAACTTTGGAACAGTTCGTTTATGGGTGGGATGATGAGCGGCTCATATTCACATAACTTTGCTCTTTGTGTACAGAGTAAGTGTTTAAAAATGCTTTTAGAAATGTTTGAACGTTTCAACCAAAAGTAAATAAGTTTAGACCTTAAAACTATTTTTCTTTGAAAACCAGAAAATTCCAAGAACTTTGATGGAAATCAATGGAAATTCCTAAAAGTTGACAACAAACATTTACCATTTATCTTGAGAGTTTTTGCTTCTACATTTTTGCATCATCTACAATTTAAAGAAAGGGTTCAGGTTAGATTATTTCTGCCTCCAGTGCAGTGCTGCCTTTCAGCAATGTTTGCAGCATCTGTTCAGCAACAACCAGGGAAGAATTTTATTGAACTGTGCAGCTCATATATGCATAATATGCACTTGTGGAAGGAAAATCAGGATGTGTTTAAAGTTATTTCTATGGGTTCTGTTTTGGGAAAGGATGTGGTGCTTCGTGAGGCCACAAACCCATCCTGAAGCAATAAGATGAAGAACGTGGTGAAACGAGGAGGATATCTGAAGAGTTTTTGAACAGGACTCTCACCCTCTCAATACTGAGGTGCTCTGTTTGTACAGGAGGTTCTGCTGTGTAGTTTTAAGAGATGTAATCTGTATTTAACACAGTGCTTTCACTCAGACCGTCAATCTCAAACAACTAGAACAAAAGAAGAAAGAGAACCATGAATGTAGCTTATTTTTAATGCTAGATGTGTAACTAATTACATATTTGTATGGCAGGAAATGAGTTATTAGTTTTTTGTATGTCACAAGAATGCATTTGTAATATCTGATGTCACCATGATGAATTTCTGACCATTGGCTCAGCAGATGGTGCCTTATTGTTTCCCTGCCCAGAGCCCTGACTGTAAAAGCCCTTTTCCACTAATACCCAGTCGACTCGACTCGGTTTTTGGTTATTTTCCATTACAATTGGGTACTCCCTAGTGTGCGTAGGGTCTGTATAGCAATGCAGTCCCGTGATGACACTTGGATGTGAAACAAACAGGGTGTTGGGGCGATGGTATACCTGCTGCTCAGTTTAAAAGTTGTTGTCAGACTCCGGGACCACGGTGTTGTTTTCTGTGGAGCCGTTTCCCTCCTTGCTGGGTTTCAAAAATGGCTGGGTTTCACTCTCGTGACTCACTGAGTGACGGCATTGACTAGCCAATTGGTGGGGTACAGTCTGTTGACATCACGTTTTTTGGATTGGACTTGGAACGGCAGCCAAGTAGATACTAAAAAATACCTGGTACCTGTTAATACCACACGCCAGGGGAAACCCTAAACACCGAGTGAAACTGAACCGAGCAGATCCATACTAGTGGAAAAGGGCTCTAAGTGCCAGTAAAAACTAGTCATACTAACTTTGCAAAATGTTGACTGCCTTATTTTAAGATTTGCAGAACAGCCTTTAAACAAGTGCTTTTTAGTCACTATTTCAAATCTGCAAATTAAACCTGGAGGGGGAAAAAAAGATCTGCTCTGCTACAACTCACAATTGTTGACACCGATGATGTTAATCAAGTTGACTTTGTGGTAACAAGGTCTAATATGTGGTAAAAAGATGTTACTACACATTTGATATGGAAGAAATTACCATGGCCGCACAGATGAGTTGGAGAGTCATTGAAACCTTGTAGGAAGAAGTATAAAGAAGTATACTACACTCTGCTTGGGTCTAAATGACGTAAAGTTGTCTTCAGATACAGAGTGGGAGAAGCTCTACATGCCACTTTTTGTCTGTGATTTCATGGACTCATGTGTGCATGTCTGTAACAGAGTATAACTCCATCTGTGGAGTGCAGCTAGGCAGGTGGTGATAATGTTTTGACTCCTCAGTAGTATGACTGCTATTGGATTGGTACCAAAACTATGTTACAGAGAGTTTCGAACTCAACATTTAAATTGCTAAAAGCTGACAGTTTGTTTCAATACCTCGGTCCAAGCTCTGGAATTTGATATTTGGTGCCATAATTTTGTGTTATCTGTTAGAACAGAAGAGAAATGTGGATGAACATTAGAAACAAAGGTAGAAACTGTTGCACCACATCAAAAATTGAAATGATAAAGTTAGATAAAGTGAAAGATTAAATACCATTTATACTTCTTTTTGGTCTTTTCCGTGTCGTTGTGCTACTGATGAGCAGTTGTTGGAGTCGTGTTGTTTTGATAAATGAAAAAGAAAGTTTTGGATTCACCAAGGGTTGGCTAAGCAACGAGAGGATGATGAAATTCAGCTGCATCCAGGAGTTTAAACGTTACCGTGGTCGTTTCAAGAAATTATTTGAGTTGTACTTTATGTTTGTTAGAGAGAATCTAAATCTACACTTAGTTTGTTCTTGTGATGCCATGAAATGGAGACTGGAATCCTTTCACAATAAGCAACTTTACCAATAGAAACTCACAGGTTTGCTTCCTGCAGCCACCTGCATGTAAATTAGAATTTCTTCTGGAAATTTCTCTGTATCATTGCAGGGTCTTTAACTTACAATATAAAGCTCCTTGAGGTGACTGTTGTCGTGATTTGGTGTTATATAAATAAAACTGAATTGAAAAATTCCTCAAGTCTGTTTCATGAATCTGTAAAATACAACTTTACCAACAGCAGGTGGAACAACAGTTATGCTACAAGAGTTTATCTCTCACAGTTTGTTTGAACTTTTGAATCCGTGCAGCTGGAAAGCAAAGTCTGGTAATTTAGCCAGTGCTTTTTAAATATGTCACACTATAGGAAACAGACTAAAACACCACCTGGTGGGTGCTGCAGGTTTCTTTTTGGAGTGACAGCACCACCACTTGTTCTTTCATAGACTCATTCTTCATGTTGCAAAAATAAATGTGATTTTCCATATTGACTTCTCTTCATTTGACATAATATATCTAACCAAAACCACAAAAACGTAAACTTTAAACTGCTGTAGATTGTGTTTTATATCAGCGGTCCCCAACCCCCGGGCCTCGGACCGGTACCGGTCCGTGAGTCGTTTGGTACCGGGCCGCGAGAGTTGAGGCTCAGGTGTGAAATGTATGGTTTTCAGGGTTTTTATCTGTTTCCAGCGTTATTTTGTTATCGTTTTTATCATTTACTTGGTTTTCCTGGGTCTTTTCACGTGTGCTATGAATAAATTTTCTTTTTTTCGGTACCGGTACTAGTTTTATTTTGTTGTATTTATCCACGACACCTTAAAGACCGGTCCGTGAAAATATTGTCGGGCATAAACCGGTCTGTGGCGCAAAAAAGGTTGGGGACCACTGCTTTATATTATACAAGGTTTGCTGTCCCGTAAACTCAATAAGATGAGGCATAGAGCGATTAAATAAGTGTGAACACACTGGAGAAACTGTAAGATCTGGGAACAAGTGGAAAGACAACATTACTGCTGACAGGGCAACAAAGCTTTTAAAACAGGACTTTACAAAATACAAATGTACTGTTCTTCCCCTGCTGTATGTTGCAGGACCTTCCTGAGAAGGTCCTGAGAACTACAACTATAAGGTCCTGAGAAGATTAAAAAGAGAGAGGTGGTTTCCAGAGCCTCGTCCAGCAGCTGAAAATCCATCTTGTTGTTTCCACAGTTGTCAGAAAGCCTGTTTGAGGTCCTTCTCACTTCCCTTTTTAACCGTGTCCTTTTTGTTGCAACATGCTGTTGGTTCCACAGACCCTGACTGGTCGAGGTGTTTTTTTGTGATGCTAAATTTCAGAAACATCAACTTACATGTAATATTCACAGGTCTGTTGAAGATCACGGCTGTAGAATTCTTAAATTTAGCGTTCAGTCAGTGAACCTGTTTTTCATTCTTGTTGGGATTCAACAGCTGTTTTAAAATTTCAACACTGAAAAAAACTCAAGTCCTTCTAAGTTTAGGATTTTCTTTTAACTAAACATTAAAATTTATACAATGTGAAGCAAATAAAAGCAACAAATCCCATATATGTGCTGGAACAGCCAAATAATCAAGTAAAAAGTGAAATGACTCATCACTTTAGCTCAAATTAGTAATACATTTATGTATGTGTCAAATCATTTATGCATTCTTTGATTGGTTTTCATAGAAAATCTTCATATTTTGGTAAATATAAATGAATGAAACAGGTATGAATTTCACTCTGCGGAGAATTTAAAGGTCCTAATTGTAGCTTCTTGGTTCCTCTCTGAGTTCTTGGTTTGAGGATCTCATTAAAGCTTTTAAAGCATTTGTCCAACATGCTGTTTTAAATGGAGTACAGGGATCCTCTCTCTGAGAAGAGTCTAATAGTGAGGAGGATTTTCCTTCAGCAGAGCCACTGCTGCTCTGCATGTCAATGACCTCACTACTGTCCTGTCTCCATGGGATACAAGCCCAAATTCTCCCTCACACACACGCACACACACACACACACACACACACACACACACACACAGTTCTGTTAATCTCGAAACTCAAACTTTTGTAATCTGTGTGAGCGTCTTTCCTGCCCTGTCTTTGCCTGGTTACTCCGAGCAACCAATGAAGGTTATTTAAAAATGTAAACGTCCTGTAGACGGACAAACGGACACAAAGACGGAGGATAAAACCCCCCGAAAATAGGCTATATGTAAGGACACACATCATCCATAGTGATCTATTCTAATCAACCCAACTGATGGATTATCACCACCAATTAATAATTTTCATTACAAAAGAAGCTGTAATTTTTAAAATATGTTTTGTTTTTTCAAAGCTTCTTAAAGTTGGATTAAATATTGGCTGTGAACTCTATTTAATATGTAAAGGGGGAATGCTTCTAAAAAAATAAGAGTTCATCACATGTATGTGTAAATTACAAAACTGTCGATTAGGATCGTAAGCACCCAATCCAGCTTTCTGAGTCAGGACTGGACCAATATCTGATCCAATAAAAAGGAGACTTGAGGTGCTGAACTTTATGTAATTTGGTACGTTTATGTAATTTGAGCGCCTCTAAAATCTGCTTATGAATCGTGGATGAAAGAGTGGAACGAGGTGGAGAAACAGGGAGAGTGAGAGAGAGACTGAGTCAGAGTTGGAGGAACAGAGTGTTTCAGGAGGCTGGAGATGTTGTTCTCATTAGCAGTGATGAGAGCTCGCCCCTGTGATCCAAACTGGTGAACAAACCGCCTCTGTTCACTAATGAACGCACACACAGGGGCGACTAGACCTCCATTGGTCATGCGAAAGTGTCACTGGGACAGACTGGATGGGAACCAACTACTGGCTGCAGTTGCATAACAGGAAGGTCACAGGTTCGAGCCCCACATCGGTAGTCGAGGTTGGTGCGTCTTTACTGCTACATTTCTAAATGCAGTTTATAGCCTCTTTTTCTTTTATATGATTAAACTAAAGTTTGGGATTTCATGACTGTAACCTCATGTTTACAGTTTTAGTTGTAATGTAAAAACTTTTCTATTGTTTTAGCAGCACAATGGTGGACAAGCCGAGACAATAATACTCTTACATGTGTATTATGATTAGCCTGCCATCAGTTTAATAACTGTTAGTATTTTTCAAAGAAAGCACAGAAAAACAAACAAACTAAGATTAGCAGTAAAATGTAAAGATTATGTCATTATAAATAATACATCTTTGGGTTTTGGAAGAATTAACACAAAACATAAGTAAATAAATACGAGTGGAAAAGAATATCTAAGACTTTTACAACTTTTTTTTTTTAACATTTAATGACATTAGCACCCATCCGACCACCAGGGACAAATACCGATTTCTGCACATCTTCATGAGGTAATCTGGTTTTTGATCATAAATTATTATCTTTTTTGCCAATGCTTATTTTCTGTTTGTATTATGTGTCATAATAGTAATGCTAACAATTACTATGATCATTTATTATTTCCAAGGTGCTTGAGAAGGTTGTGGCAGCACAGTTAATTGATTACTTAGAGACTAATCAGCTCATTCATCCAATGCAGTTCGGTTTTAGACCAAAATTTTCCACAGAAATGGCAAATTGCTATTTCGTTGAAAATATTAAGTGTAATCTGGATAATGGTAATGTTGTGGGTGCAGTGTTCCTTGACCTAAAAAAGGCTTTTGACACTGTCAGCCATGACATACTTCTTTCCGAGTTGATAAAATTTGACTTTTCAAAGCAGGCAGTTGATTGGTTTGAGTCTCATCTTCACAAAAGAGAGCAGTGTGTGAGGGTTGATAAAGAAAAGTCGTCCATGTTGGAAAACAGAATGGGTTTTCCCCAAGGATCTGTTCTTGTCCCATTGCTGTTTAGTTTATTTATAAATGATTTGCCTGCCAGTTGTCCAAAAGCTAACTGCCAAATTTGTGCAGATGATGCAGTTATACACGTACCAGCTAAGTCACCTGGCGAGGCAGCAGACACCTTAACGCAGGGGTAGGCAACTCCAGGCCTCGAGTGCCGGTGTCCTGGAGGTTTTAGATGTGTCCATGATCCATCACAGCTGATTTAAAGGGCTAAATGGCTCCTCAGCATTTCTTGAAGTTCTCCAGAGGCCTGGTAATGAACTAATCATTTGATTCAGGTGTGTTAACCCAGAGTGCGATCTAAAACCTGCAGGACACCGGCCCTCGAGGCTGGAGTTGCCTACCCCTGCCTTAATGGCACATCTAAATGATGTCTAACAATGGCTGGAACATAATCATCTTGTATTGAATTAAGTTTCTCTGTCATTTTTCATACTGTATGACAGTTTGGACCCAAGCAGCACCATCTACACTTCAGCCTGTGGTGTCCTTATATAACCAATCTTTAAAAATAATGGATAAAATAAAATGTATCTGTTTTGATTGTAAGCCCAACAAAGGACAATTGTTGAAAATTAGCAATAGCTATAAACGTATGTGTGTTACATCAGTTTCATGTTTTGTACTTGGACTATGTTAAACTGCACTGTCCCTTTAAAATAAATAAATTCAAATTCAAACTGCTTTAAACACAGATCCTAAGGATAAAACTCATCGGGAGACCTTGACCCCACAAATCATGTCAACACACCCAACTGTACAGTGTTAAAAAACTATGGCTAGTTTCCTTCTTTATAACAGCTGTGGGAGGTTTCCTGTATCGCACTCATCTGGATGATGGCGTTGGGAATTACTTCTCTTTGGTTGCCAGATGTTGAGATGCAGAGTTTTAGCAGATCAGTGTCTGCTGGGCTCAGCTCCACCAAACTGGACCTCTCAACTGTGCTAGCACTGTTGGGGCCTTTTGCGCACGCACGCACACACACACACACACACACACACACACACACACACACACACACACACACACACACACACACACACACACACACACACACACACACACACACACACACACACACACACCTGGTACTTTATATCTTAATGTTTAGTCTTCTAATCCAAAAACAAAGGCTCCCATTAGCTTGGCCACATTTACTTTAAATGAATCCAAACCAAAACAACGAAATTCATCAGTCCATTGAAGGCGTCTAATCTTGTGGTGTCAGAAAAGATGCTACTGTGTTTCGTGAGCATAAAATTATTTACAAAGTAAAAAACTAAGCAGATGTTTGACACTAGTAACGCAGGGTTAAAAATGGTCC